AACGAGAACAATGTGTAGGAGTTGTAGGAGGAATAGATGAGGCTAAAAATCTGTTCACCAAGCTGTCTTAGGAGGTAGGTGGGATCTCCTTCACTGGAGTTATTTAAGCCGAGGCTCAATGACCATCTGTTAGGGATGGTGCAGCTGTGGATCCTGCACTGCGCTGAGCAGAGGGCTGGGCCATAATACCTCCAGGGTCCCTTCTAACTCTCTGGCTGTATTGGCTACAAAATGCATCCACAGGAAATCCAGCAGGGAAGAATTCTGGCTGTTGTGTGCCTTCGTAAAGGTAAAGGGACCCCTGACCGTTAGGTCCAGTCGTGGCCGACTCTGGGGTTGTGGCGCTCATCTCGCTTTAATGGCTGAGGGAGCCGGCATACAGCTTCTGGGTCATGTGGCCAGCAGGACTAAGCCGCTTCTGGCGAACCAGAGCAGCGCACGGAAATGCCATTTACCTTCCAGCCGGAGCGGTATCTATTTATCTACTTGCACTTTGACGTGCTTTCAAACTGCTAGGTGGGCAGGAGCAGGGACCGAGCAATGGGAGCTCACCCCATCGCAGGGATTTGAATCGCCGACCTTCTGATCAGCAAGCCCTAGGCTCTGTGGTTTAACCCACAGCGCCACCCGCGTCCGTGTCTGCCTTCTTACCATCTCCTAAAAGACATTATTATTATTTTTTAACAACAAACACATAACTTCTTGTCCCTATCTCACACGTATGTGAAATATTGAATTTAGAGGAAATGAAGCATTGCAGTATTTGGATCTGGAAAGTACCAAAACCAGATTGCTCTAAACCAGATTGCTTCTAATACAGATTAATAGTTGTCTTCCTTTCCTGTCACTGTCAGCTGACCCCTTAATTATTTAATTATTTGATTAATTATCACCTTGCCTCATGGGTACCTGCTTCTGAACTTTCTTTATATATGACTGCCAGCAGTGCACACAGTATTCTGGAATCTCTTCCCACATCAAGCACACTGTGTTACCACAGTCCAAAATGACTTTTGTCAGGATGTAGCAGATGGTAATCTATTGTACGTATAAGCTTTTGGCCATCCTCATGTGATGCTTAAACTATTGTAAGGGCTGATGAAGATCTCTTGTCTATATGGCAGAAATCCTTTGCATGATTCGTAGTCACACTTGCCTAGCCCATTTGGAGAAAAACATATATTGACACAAATAGTTGGCTTATTTCTACTTATCCATTCTATCTGCTCATTCATTCTTCCCATGAAATTATTTCTTTAACTGCTTTAGCAGACCTACACAAATTCATCCATCAACTAAACTGGAACAAGTACCTCTGGGCTTTTGACGAAGCAGGACACCAGGCAGCACACAGGTTCTGTCCACCAAGCTGTCTATGAATTGCAGGGATGCCCAGATCCCAATTCACTAAGGATTACTCATCTGCTCCACTTAAATGAATAGGAATGTCATGTTCTTAAACAGATCCCCTTTATTCAGCGCAGCTCATGCACAATAATTTCCAGGTGGATTGTGCTCACTAAATCCTCTCATTGTTTTTAAAATGACCAAAGCCATATTTTGCATATGTGAAGTTAAAATTTCAGTGCTAGAACGCCTGATTTCACCAATTGTGCCATTATAACCTTTGTTCCAAATTTAATTTCCCTGTTAAATACAATGTTTAAATCATTCTGATCTTGACACTAATAATAATAATAATAATAATAATACCACCCTTCAAAGATCACAAGGCGGTTTACAGTATAAAAACACAACACTTCACATGACAACAAGTAATAACCCCAAATGATCTGCAATATAGATAAGGAAGAACAAGTCTTGTTGAAGAACCAGCAGCATGGCTTCCTCAACAGTAAGTCTTGTCTAGCAAATATTTTAGAGGTGGCTGGGGTTTTTTTAGAGTGTCAATGAACATATGAACGGGGTGATCCAGAAGACACTTTATCCTTTGGCTTTCATAAATCTTTTGACCAAATCCCTCCCCAAAGGCTCCTGTGAAAGCTTAGTTATCACGAGAAGAGACCCTCTTATGGATTAGTAACTGGTAAAAGAACAGGAAGCAACAAATAGGAATAGATGGTAAGTTCTCTCAGTGGATGGATGTAAGAAGTGGGTTCACCCAAGGATGGGTTTTGGGACCTGTGCTTTTTGATTTCTTTGTATCTGATCTAGAATTAAAATGAGCAGCAAAGTGGCAGAGTTTGCTGGTGACACTGCTTCTCTTGCCAGCTTCCTGGCTCTGACTCTGCACTGGCTTCTGACCCTTCTGATCCTTATTTGATGTTCTGGATGGAATGTGACCTCTACGTACCTTGGATTACATATTTATTTCTGACCTGCTTGAATGGACAGCCCACTTCCTAACACGTAGAATCTGACATCATAGAGTCTATCCCTACTGTGGCCCAGCAATGACTTCCGCTGGCCATGGGCCAAGCTAGTCAGGGGTGAGATCTCAAAGGAAGAATCCTTTTTAAATAAAAAATCCTGCAGAGGGTGAAACCCCTTGTTCCCCAAAACTGCTTTGCAAAGCAGGTCTGATGGTGAAGAGGGGCACACATGTTTGTGTGCACTTGAGAAAAAAAACAATAATGTGGATGCCTCTATGCAGGGCAGGAAGGGGAGAGAAGGACACATGGACAGTAAGAGCCCCTTGCATAAAATGAGAGGGGGAAAGAATCTGATTTGCGAGAAAATATTTTGTTTAAGGAGAGATTTATGCCTCTGTTGAGTGCACTTCTTGAGGCAAATTAAAAGGAACATTGTCTCACTACATACTTTGGGGGGCTGGATACCTATGATATTATCCCCCATTTAGTTATTTAAACATATTTACAAGCTAGCTAAGGGACGTGGGTAGCGCTGTGGGTTAAACCACAGAGTCTAGGACTTGCCGAAGGTCGGCGGTTCAAATCCCTGCGACGGGGTGAGCTCCCATTGCTCAGTCCCTGCTCCTGCCAACCTAGCAGTTCAAAAGCATGTCAACGTGCAAGTAGATAAATAGGTACCACTCCGGCGGGAAGGTAAACGGCGTTTCCATGCGCTGCTCTGGTTCGCCAGAAGCGGCTTCATCATGCTGGCCACATGAACCGGAAGCTGTACATCGGCTCCCTCGGCCAATAAAGTGAGATGAGTGCCGCAACCCCAGAGTCGGCCACGACTGGACCTAATGGTCAGGGGTCCCTTTACCTTACAAGCTAGCTAAATCAACAACCCCATAAAAATCACTAGCCCCAAAGAATATTTACTGGCTTACCTCGGCCACACAGGTTTAATTGTGACTTAAGAGCAACTGCTGAAAAATTGACACATTCTCCTTTTTTAATGTTATGTTCATTATACAACAAAAAACCCCAAAGAACCCACTTCTCTGCCTGAGTGTCTGAAAAACAATTCTTACTCACTACAGGAAACCAAGTTCAATGGGACTTTCCCCCGCATGTGCACGTGATTGTAGCTGCAGAGCCCAATTCACAAAGAATTGCTCCCAAGCATGCTCCGTTGAAACGAACTCTGTCCTGACCAGATCCTTTTTATTTCAATGCAGCTCCTGCAGGAGACCTTCCCGCTGCATTGTGCCCACCGAACACTCTAATTTGGTTTAAAACAAAAAAATGGCAACAGCCCGGAGCCTGAAATGAATTTCACATGCTCTCATTTACAGGTCCCTTGCCAGAACACTTGATTTCACAAGTTGTGCCAATCTCCTCCTTGCTGCAACCTCGCTGGAAACTGGCCCTGAGTTAATCATTCTAATCCACAGTTACCTTTTCTCACTTTGATCCACACGTGATTTTACAGGACACAAAACACAGCCAGGGAGGACAGCAAGGACCCACGTCACAGTTGTTAGGTCGGCAGCCCAATCCTCAACACGCTTGCAGTAAGAGCTGCTCAACAGTGGAACGGACTGCAGCTTTTTTAAGCAGAGGCTGAATCGTAGAATTGGAAGGGAGCACGGGAGTCATCTAGTCCAACTCCCCTGCAATGCAGGAATCGTTTGCCCAACATGGGACTCGAACCCGAGTCTCATGCTTTACCAACTGAGTTGGGTGGCCATCTGTCATGTACAGTGGTACCTCGGGTTACATACGCTTCAGGTTACAGAGTCTGCTAACCCAGAAATATTACCTTGGGTTAAGAACTTTGCTTCAGGATGAGAACAGAAATCGTTCTCCAGCGGTGCAGCGGCAGCAGGAACAGGCCCCATTAGCTAAAGTAGTGCTTCAGGTTAAGAACAGTTTCAGGTTAAGAACAGACCTCCAGAACGAATTAAGTTCTTAACCCGAGGTACCACTGTATTACCGAGATTCCTGCATTGCAGTGGGTTGGACTAGATGACCCTCGCGGGTCCCTTTCCAACCCTACAATTCTATGATTCCGTGACCCATCGATTTTTAGGAACCTGAGGTTGCCACTACTGGATCCAGAGGGCCTTGCTTCCCAGGGTGGGGCTGTCCTATGAATATGAAGGGGCCAAAGGAGCCAACTCCTAGACCCCCCCCCCAATAAAATATTTGGGGGGCTGGGCCCATCCATTGCCATTCAAACAGTATCATGTGATCAATTATGCGGGGCAGGGCTTACTCGCCCCCCCCCAATATTTTATTCAAGTTGGCACCCCTGGAAGGGGCCGCGCAACGAAATCCTAAGGTTGTTGGCTTGGCAGCGAGACCCGCTTCGTTTCGACGGGGTTTGCTCTGAAGGAAATGCGCTATAGGCTCGCAACCCAAGTTCCCACTCTGGAGCGCACTTCCAAATCCACTTCTAAACTGAGACGTGTTCAGACAACGCGGTTTTTTGTTAAATAAAAAAGCACACAAGCCCGAAAGGCTCCTTCACGAGCGCAGCGCACAGCTGCCTCAAAACCGGGCGCAAACTTGCCCGTTGCTGGGTCGGTGGTTGGTTGGTAAGAAGAAGCCCCCCAAATGCCCCCCTCCCAAGACACCCCCAGGTAAAAGCAGAGCCCCCCCCCAAAGAAAGCGACACACTCTCACCCTCGCTCCGTCCCCCGCGCGCCTGCAGGACCAGAATTTCTCACGGAGAAGAAGAAGAAGACGCAGCGCGCTCCGGAGTGCGCAGCAGCGCCCGCAGGGAAACTTCCCCGCCGCTTCCCGAGCAGCACCAGCGACGACGCGCAACTCGGCGCAACTCGTCCGTCCGTCCGTCTACTCGCCCCGCGAAGACGCGCAGGTCCAGCCCACCGGCAGCGCCGCGCACCGCGCGCCCAGGGCGAGCCCACCTGCCGGCCAGCCGCTTCCCCGCAGCCAAAGGCGCCCGGCCTCCTCCATGGCGAGCCCGCTATGACCTTGCCAGGTAGACGGGGCAGCCGCCGGGCTTCCCACAGCTGCTGTCCGTCCGTCCCGTCCGTCCGCCTCCGGAGAGAGAGAGAGAGAGGGCGTGAGGGGGCGACGGAGGGCTGCGCTGGAGAAACCCCGTCGGGGAAGCGCGAAGTCGGCGGAGTAGGGCGCGGAGGCGGCAGCACTGCAGTGGCGTCCAGGGCGCGCCGAGGGCTCTGGCGCTCCACCCTCGAGGGGGCGGAAGGCGGCCCGGGGTCGGCCAGGGAAGAGCGGGCGGAGAGGGGTTGGTTGGCGGGGCCTCCAGAAGCGGCATCGTCTTGGTAGCAGAAGTCCTGCTCTCAATACCCCCAGGTCACGAAATTAAAAGACGCCTGCTTCTGGGGAGAAAAGCAATGACGAACCTAGACAGCATCTTAAAAAGCAGAGACATCACCTTGCCAACAAAGGTCCGTATAGTAAAAGCTCTGGTTTTCCCAGTAGTGATGTATGGAAGTGAGAGCTGGACCATAAAGAAGGCTGGTCGCCGAAGAATGGATGCTTTTGAATCATGGTGCTGGAGGAGACTCCTGAGAGTCCCATGGACCTCTCCATTCTGAAGGAAATCAGCCCCGAGTGCTCACTGGAAGGACAGATCCTGAAGCTGAGGCTCCAAGACTTTGGCCATCTCATGAGAAGAGAAGACTCCTTGGAAAAGACCCTGATGTTGGGAAAGATGGAGGGCACAAGGAGAAGGGGACGACAGAGGACGAGATGGTGGGACAGTGTTCTCGAAGCTACCAGCATGAGTTTGACCAAACTGCTGGAGGCAGTAGAAGACAGGAGGGCCTGGCGTGCTCTGGTCCAGGGGGTCACGAAGACTTGGACACGACTAAACAAAAACAATGCCTTGCATCTTCGCAAGTGGTGGGCACCATTTCTGAAACCCGGGGGGGGGGGAGCCATGCTGCAAGGTAGCCAACGGGCTGGCCCAGGGGTCAGCAACCTTTTTCAGCCCTGGGCCAGTCCACCGTCCCTCAGACCTTGTGGTGGGCCGGACTATATTTTGAAAAATAATAATGAACGAATTCCTATGCCCCACAAATAACCAAGAGATGCATTTTAAATAAAAGGACACATTCTACTCGTGTAAAAACACACTGATTCCCGGGCTGTCCGTGGGCCGGATTGAGAAGGCGATTGGGCCGCATCTGGCCCACGTGCCTTAGGTTGCCTACCCCTGGGCTGGCCTCTCCGTATTATTCCAAATTCGAGGAGCTTCTGTGAGTTGAGGACATTCCAAAATATATCCTCTACCTTTATATATCCTAGGTAATGAGCAGTAGGAGAGCCAATTCCTTAAAGGCAACTGGAGGCCCCTGGCAGCCTTTCTGGACCTTGGGTCCCAGGATAATTCGTAGGGTTGGGTCATCTAGTCCAACCCCCTGCAATGCAGGAATCTCAGATAGATCATCTCAGACGGGTAGAATTATAGAATCATAACATCCTGGAGTTAGAAGGCACCACTAGGGTCATCTAGCCTAACCCAAGTCAGGAATCTTTTGCCCAATGTAGGGCTCGAGCCATTGGCGGACCTTGGGGTCTTAAATTCAGCACCTTTTGCCTTCCATTCAAAATCTACTTAAGGATTCAGGGCACAGGTCAACAGAACAAAAACTGCATATAAATTGCATGTGCTAATTTCTATCTAGAGATGCCTCTGGGGAAATAAGGTGGTGGATGGTGCTCTCCCCTAAATCCACCTCTGCTCAAACCCATGACCCTGAGATGTAGAGCCTTGTGTTCTGCCAACTGAGCTGTTTGTGGACTATAACTCCCACCATCCCTGACCACTAGCCCTGCTAGCTAGGAATGCTGAGAGTTGTTGTAGTGCAACAAAAGCTGGGGACCCAAGGTCAAGAAGGGCGGTCTGAGGCCTGTGGCACTTTAAATGCTAACAGATTTATCATGGTATACAGTTCCGCAGCATATTGGGGAGAGCCAACGTGGTGCCCTCCAGGTGATGCTGAACGCTCAGGAGCCCCAGGCAGCATCACCAGTGGCCAGGGATGATGAGGATTTATTCCAACAGCATGTGAAGGGCGCCACATGGGCTACCCCTCAGTTAGGTCCACCACTGCATGAACGAAGTATGTATGTGCATACTGTTAAGTTATGGGTGAACATATCAGACGACACAGCGATTCTTCAACAGCTCTTGTTTATTCACAGGCCAGGACGGAACTGAACTGAAGGGTTCAGCCAGCCTGCTTATATAGAGCTCCACTACAACGTAACTGTAACAATTTTCTAAAACTATCCAATCACTGAACGCCACTTTTGATCCCTTATTTGCATAACTATCTACAGTATCCCCCTGCTGGCCCAGGGTGAGAACTTCAGTACATAACACATCCAGTCAATTAAAACTATATTTTATACATAACACAGTTGCAGAGAAGCTGGTTGAGAGTTTAAGGTGCCACAGCACCGTCATTTTTGCTGCAACACATGGGCATGGGTACTCCTCTGAAAACTCTTGCTGCTATCCCAGTTTTGCTATGTTAATCAGCACCCAGTGTGGGACAGGAAAGCACTGTCGCTGTCCTTTATGTACAGAACACAACTTCTTGATGAATTCTAATTCAGCTGTTTCGCACCAAATTCACCCTTTGAAATCATTTTCCAATTTTCACATCAGCCGTGGAGTATCCTGGGAGACTGAAATCTTCCCCCACTGGTTTCTTGATCTTACCATTTCTGATGGCAGAGTTACTATGTCATACATTGTTTTGCATACACCTAGATCAGTTTGTCCTGTATAGAAAGCAGGAGTGCAATGCCAGGAGGTGAAAGCATTTTGCCAAATTTGAAGGATAAGCAAGTGAGGGAGCACATGGGCCACATCTGGCTTGTGGAAGATTTTGACCCAGCCTTTGAGCTCTCCCCCTTTCCCCAATCCATTACACTCCTAGACTGTTAGGATCATGACAACCATACTATCATAAGGGAGGGGGTTCAAAAATCTACACTTAAGCCTTCATTGGAATAATGCAAGATTCAGCTCCCATGACTTAACCTTAGGTATATTTTCTGATATTTTCTTGAGCAAAAAATTTAGTGGAATCAGCTCTAAACTGACAGTTTATTTTGCCCTGCACAGCCGTGTCACCAAGACTGAGCTTGAGAACAGCCCCTTCTTTAAAGGCATCTGAGAAGAAAGAAGAAGAAGAAGAGTTTGGATTTGATATCCCGCTTTATCACTACCCTAAGGAGTCTCAAAGCGGCTAACATTCTCCTTTCCCTTCCTCCCCCACAACAAACACTTTGTGAGGTGAGTGGGGCTGAGAGACTTCAGAGAAGTGTGACTAGCCCAAGGTCACCCAGCAGCTGTATGTGGAGGAGCGGGGAAGCGAACCCCGTTCACCAGGTTAAGAGTCTACCGCTCTTAACCATTACACCACACTGGCTTACAATTCAGGGGCAGTATTAAGGGGTGGCCCAGGGGGCCTGAGCTCATTGTTGTTTGCTGCAGACACTGGATCCCTTTCCACTTAAAGGTAAAGGACGCCTGACAGTTAAGTCCAGTCGCGGACGACTCTGGGGTTGTGGCGCTCATCTCACTTTAGTGGCCGAGGGAGTCGACCTTTGTCCGCAGACAGTTTTTCCGGGTCATGAGGCCAGCATGACTAAGCCGCTTCTGGTGAAACCAGAGCAGCACACAGAAACGCTGTTTACCTTCCCACCGAAGCGGTACCTATCTATCTACTTGCACTTTGACGTGCTTTTGAACTGCTAGGTTGGCAGGAGCTGGGAGCTCACCATGTCGCGGGGATTCGAACCGCCGACCTTCCGATCAGCAAGTCCTAGGCTCTCTGGTTTAGACCACAGTGCCGCCCTTTAATTTTATAGGAGAAGGAAAGCTCTGATCCTAAACCTCCGCTGCCTTAACAGTTATACTAAGCTGTTAGAAAAGCTTCGGGAGTAAACCCTGAGGAACAGTCCCTTGTGGGACACCTTCAAGAAAAGGCAAGGCTAAGGAGTAAACCTTGCACAAATCCAGAGAGGAGTCCCTCAGGCAGTTGGATGTTGCTTTGTACGCCTCCTTCCTGTAACTGCTGCAGCCAAGTTGGTGCCAAACATATTGCTCTGATTTCCTTTGGACCCCATCAGTGAGCCCAAGGTGGGGGTGGGTGAGTCCTGTTGTCTGGGCAGCTCAGGACCTTCATGCACACTGCCCAGGCTTGCACCCCTGAGAGAGGTGGGCACACTGAAAGTGTAGCCACCCACATCTCATTTTCCCAGAGGCACCTATACATATAAATGAGTATATGTGGATTGTATGCAAATTTGGCTCTCTGCCTGAATCCTTTATGTACTGTGCAACACTCCCGTGCCTTAAATAAAATCTAGTAAGTTATCTCAAATGGGGAAAACTAAACATAGGAATGACAGAAACACTGAACTCAGGGGATATATAACTGTGCTGCTTAACCTGTAAGTCAACCATCTCCCTCTGCTGACTTTTGGACGCCTTCAACTATTTTTTAAACATTCTTAACCCTAAGCTCCCGTTGCTTGGTCCAGCCGCCTGCCAACCTAGCAGTTCGAAAGCACCTCCGGGTGCAAGTAGATAAATAGGGACCGCTTTCTAGCGGGAAGGTAAACGGGCGTTTCCATGTGCTGCGCTGGGCTCACCAGATGCAGCTTGTCACGCTGGCCACGGTGACCCATGAAGTGGTTCTCCGCGGACAGCGCTTGGCCCCCGGCCTCTAGCAGTGAGATGGGCGGCACAACCTAGAGTCTGTCAAGACTGGCCCGTACGGGCAGGGGTACCTTTACCTTTACCTTAAACCCTAAGCCCACAATGCTTTTCTTTAATTCTGGACGACTTGTATTGCAAAGCCTCGCAGTTACAATCCGCCATAAAACATAGAATCATAGAACTGTTAGGAATTGGAAGGGACCCCAAGGGCCATCTATTCCAACCCTCCTGCCCATGACAAGAAAAACTAATCTCTTTTGTACATAGTGGGACTTTAATTCCAAGTAAACAGGCATTGGGTTGTACCTGTAAACTTTCTATTCTGCGAGCAGCAGTTCCAATCATATTCCCTAGTGCTCACAAATGCAGTCTTAATGTAGAAGAATTCTAATAGTGAAGCAGATACAAACTCACTATTACAGTGAGTTTTTAATGAACTGTGTTTGTTGACCTGGAAACACCATTGTCTTATGTTTTGAGCTTTAGGA